ATTATTATTATTATTCTTTCTCCTCTGAGTCACACAACCTACCTTCCATCTTCCCTGCTAGGCCTTGTGGAGTCCATAGAACTGTGGAGCAGAGGGCCGTTTCTGTGAGTCGGGTGCTTCTGAATCGGAAAAGCTTTTTCCCCCTTAAGAGACCTGAGCACACAGTTTGCTCTTTCTGAGAAGCGATTGTGTTCTCTTACTTGCAGAAGACAAGGAAGAGAAATCAATGGCAGATATTATCAATGGCAAGCTACAGGCTCCCCGAGTCTGAATTCTGGTTAATGATTTACAGAACAGGGGCGAGGCACACAATCCTTGAGTCCTCACCCCTGTTTGTGGAGATTTAACAGGCTAATTAGGAAAACGTAGAAATAGATGTACATGACGATAGCAGGCACGGTTCAAAATAGTTATATTGATAGATTTGATCTGATGAGACAGATTTCCTTCTTTAGAAGTAGCAAAGTAGGGTATCCATGAATCCAGATACAAGGCCATAAGACTGATTTGGTTGATAAAAATACAAAAAAAGATAATGGTCGGCACAATATAAAAAAACTCACAAACTCAACAATCCCTGGGTTTTGTTCTGATGGGGTAATGTTGAAATCTAATGCTCAGAATTTCCGTAAATGTGCCTTTTAAAAATAATTAGGAGAATGTCAGTCTGAGGAAAAAATGAAGTGTTGGGACAGTTAATTAAAAAATTTACATGACGTGTAGCACGTCGGCACTCCAGGATCCTGGGTTCAATGTTGGGCTTCGCATGTTCGCTCTGTGTCTGGGTGGGTTTTCTCCGTGTGCTTTGGTTTCTTCCTACAGTCCTAAAACATGCTGTCAAGGTCACCTGGCATCTCAAAATTGACAAATTACCTGCGACGGGTGTCTCTATTTGGTCAATGTTATACTGTCTGTGATTAATAATGTGGTTTCATCACAGGTTGCTGTATACAGTATAAAGTCTGTACTAACTGCTGATTTCTGCTTCATCGATTGAGGTTCAAAGGTCAGATAGGCGTGAGGGTGCGTCCACAGCAGCCACTTCCGTGCAACTCAGTAACATCGAAACTGAAGCCATGGGCATTTTTACCTCAACATAGGACTGCAGACAATTCTAAGATTATAAAAAGAACAGTTCAACATCCATACCAGTGAATTAAGCTGAAAGATGCACTTCCATTCGCTACCTTGAATAAAAGGTTTTCCGTTTGTCTGTCCATCATCAGAAAAGCTACTTACTGCAGTTCTGTCAAGGGCTGAAACTCCCAGAAGCCTACATGGTGCGAAGCAGGAGTAGATTGTGGACTGGGCATCAGTCTGTTGTATGGTGGACACTCACACAGGATAGAGACACCAGTGAACCCAGCCAGCATATGTTTGGAAACTGGGAGCGAACCAGAGCATGTGGAGGAGAAGCCACACAGACAGGGACAGTGTACAAACTCTAAGACCCTAGAGTGGCACTGTGCCACATGAAATTTAACTTCCTGTTAATTTTGAAATTAACTGTGCCAA